AGGGCAGTGGGTGAATCAGGGCATGGGGAAAGCAGAAGAAAGGGAGGTGGCCTAAAGTTTGTGAAAAAAATAGCTATGGTTCATGTGGTTTTGGTCATTAAATACAGTTTTGGCATGCGTGGGGCTCTTGGTCGCAACATGATTAGCACAAAATTATGTGCCTTTTGTTTTCTTTTTAATGTCTTCAATACCCTAATATATTTAAGGGAACAATATTTTTCAGGTGTGTGCTTGTCTGTGTTGTGCCGTAGGTGTGTATGTGCCTTTTTTAATAGTACTGTTCCTCTATAGCTGTCATGCTGAGGGGAGAGAAGTTACCCACATTAGGTAGCATATCCAAGGCTGCAGAGTGGTGCTGACACTAAACCATTCAGGTTTTTGGCCTCTTCCTAGTTTTCCAGATGTGTTTTTAATACCAAGAGGCATCCTTGGAAAGTCTCAAAATCTGTTGCTCTATGCATCTTGTGGTTAGTTACAGGATATCTTGTCTTGCTAAATCGCAGGCATCTGTTTGGTGTCACTCTCCCCTTCTCTGGCCTGACAAAGTCAGTCTGGTTCACTTGCTTCTTTTTTCTTCTATGTGGAAAAGATCCTGCTAGCCAGTCATACCTGTTGTGGGATCTTGGTTTTGGGCATCTTTTGGCTGCAGAAGGCTTCTGGGTGTGACTCTTCTACTGTTATATCTTCATAGGGAACCAAAGGAAGCATGGGACATTTTTGGGGCTGAGGTAGACAACATCATCTCTTCAATTAAGAAAAATCACACTTGCTCTTACAATGGGTTTATCACCCTTTTCAACATCCCAACGGACTTTCAGTACTATAATGGTTGCGAGCAACTATTACCTCTCTTCCCAGTCTTCTCCACAGCTATATATTACTCTGCCCTCAAACAACTGTTAGCTTGTACTAAAATGTAGCAGTGAGCCCAAGGCTGGATTTATTATCAGATGTTTTCTATTTAGAGCAGGGCTAAGGGGCAAATTTTGAAGAATGTAATTTTCTTTTCCCTAATGTTTGGTCACGATTGTTCGTTAAACACTGCTGCTTTATTACATAGTTCAGATGACTTCAGGCCAGCTAAGATAGTACCTCATGATGATCAGATGCAGCATGATACTCAGGAGTGGAGTGTTTGGCAAGTACAAGCCTGCATGCTTTAGCTTAAAAGGAAGCATAGACCTCAAAGTTCAGAAGTTCATTCATGTCTTGAACTTTTTTGGAAGATGTTCTGAGGAGGGTTTTGAAAATTCATCTTCCATCATAGGAAATATTACTGCTTATTTGAATTTTCACTGTAGTATACAATGAACTTAACTTCAGTTACAAGGTAGTTTTAGCTGGAATAATAAAAAGCTTGTTCTAAAAATTTTGCGAATCTGCAGAGAAGTTGCTAATTTTGAGATAGACTGAGCTGACAGCTGTATTGTGCTAGTCCCTCAGCTTTAGAGCTGTATTTGAATTCTCTTGTTAGTAGTAGCCACGGGACCATCAAAACAGTTTTAATCACATTTTTGCTTTAAACAATTAGTTTAACTCAAATTGGCATGGCTTAAACTGCTTCTTTGTGCTTATTCTGCTGTTAGGTAATAGTACTAATCATGTGTCCTGCTAAAAATAGAGAAATGTCTTCAGAGTACTGTCATCATTTGTTTAGCTGGACCTTCCTTTGACTTGGCTCTACATACTCCCTACTAGATTGTATACTTTTTTTTTCTTCTGAGTGAGAACAGTTTAGAAGAACGTAGCCGTTGTCAGGCTTGAGTTTGTCGTCTTCTGTTGTTAAGCAAAGAATACTTTGATTCCCACAGACCATTGTTTTTCCAGCTTTTGAATTCCTCTTGCTCTTTCAGCTGTGTTTACTGCAGGATGGCTGACCTAAATCTGCTCATTTTGTGCTTTTTTTTAATAGGCATAAAGGATCAAGAGGATGGACTGCTGCTGAAGCAGTCTTGTGCCCCGAAGTATAGTTTCCCAGATTTTGTGGTCTGATTTATTGTAGCTAAAGTTAACTCCCTTGACATAGATGAAGGGATCTGTGATGTGTCCATGCTGTGTTTAAATTGTTCTCCTCTCACATGGCTATGCCTCATATGAAGTGAGGGATCTTTGGAGTATTGGTAGTAAAGTGAGCAAGCAAATAGGTCAGAATTCTCTTTAAAACAGGCAAGCCTAATGCCTTTTTCCTTCTGCTTCACTCAGAAGGATGTAAACTTGTCTGGTTTTGCAGCATGAAAACTGGATTGCATCACCAGGCTTTTCCAGTCAGAATTTATGGGGTTTTCTACTACTTTCTACTACTAGGACTAGAAGTCTGATGAGAAGACATCTTTCCTTGGCTTATACAAGGGAAAAGTTGTTTTGCTAGTTGTTCTGGGTAAATGTGGTACCACTGCTACTATAGATATCAAATAGGGTCTTTAGACTGAGTTAACTATCTGTAATAAGAATGTGACCATATCTTTAAATTCAGTGGCAGCTTCAAAGTTCCCTTGATTTGTTTTTAAAAATTTTTTGCTATCTTTTTTAATGATTTAATAACTGCTTACCTAAAAAGCCCCTTCTTTTATTGTTCTAGTTCTAGCATTCATGCAATGATTGCACTTTAAATTTGCAGAGCAAGTCCATTTTATCAGATACATATACAAACCTCTTTTTGGTCTCAAAACTAATGAATGATATATAAATGGTTTTGACTTCGGTTTTTTTGTTACCAAGTCACCCTTAAGGAATAAGAATCGTCTCTTCTTGCCTAAATTTTCTCTTTGATGTGATTTTTGTCTTTGCTTAAGTAACTCTTTTAAGATCTTTTTCCTGAAAAGCATTTTAGAGAGGCCTTAGTGTGTAATGTCATATAAAGATTTTTTGGTTGCTGCTTTTTTTAAAAAGCTTTTAAAATTCATCTTGGTTCACATCGCTTTTGGAATCAACTGCTGTGAATCAAGCAATTGTCTTATTTTTTTGGCCATTGTGCTTCATGCTTCTTGAATATCTTAAAGCAGCTAAAGTACGTTGGAGAATCTTGCTCTGAAATTGAGTAAAATAAAAATTAGGTTCATATACAATATATACCAGAAAAGTAAAATGTGTACTATTCCTTTGTCTTTTGTTTAATATTGAGTATTGTTAGTTCAATATTTAGTATTGTTTTAATATACATTGGAAATTTCTTTTCTGAATTAAATAATATAACTTTTAAGAGATAAATACCAATTAATAATTGAGACTAAAGCGTACTTGGATTTCCTGAAGCAGCCGGTATTCCTTTTTCACCTGCAACGTCACCATAAATTGCAAGGGGTAAACTTAGCTTGATTATTTATTTTAACTTGGAATCTTGATCATATAACTGGTCATCTTAAAGATTATATGATTGATCTTAATTATTAATATGATTGATCTTAATGATTAATAACTGAATGGTACTACAGGACTGAATTTAAAGCTATGTTTATGTCCTAACTGTTGGTTAAAAAAACTTTAGGTAAGAATTTAAGATTTGTCTTTACTTGGCTTGCTTTAAAGATTGGCAGCCCTGTACTTCACACACAAGTTGTTCACTGTATTCTAACCAGCCTTTTGTAAACTTTTCTTGTTTTTAAGAAACGAGGGCATGTGTTTGCTCCACTTATCCCTTCTTTTTGCCTGTCCACCTAGCTCTGAAAATGTGTGGGCGATAAAAGGAGGTTGTGTGATTAAATCTTTGCAAGCAGACCGTAGGGTAAACAAATCTCTTTAAGTTCTTAATTTGAACTTTGAAGACACCTGGAAATAACAAAATGCTTAGAATTCACCTTCAGAAACCATGTTTCTGGGTCCCACTATGAAGAGCCTGTGCTTCCTGTGTAGGGATGTAAACAGTGTAAAAATACTCGAGGCTCTTCTCAATGCCTGATCTCAAGATGGCCTATTTACAGCTGCACAGAAAGTTCTTAATACCAAATTTTCCTCTTCTACACAAGAGAGAGCTGAAGAAGAGATGCTCAACTATTTGCGAGCCCCAGGATGGCAAATGGGAAGAGATATTAATCTGTTCATAGGATATGGCACTGTCAGGTTCAGGCCATAGCTCTGTTTTTCCACCTGCTTGGGAAGCCTGACACAGATGTTGCTGGCTATACTGAGGAGGTATCTGCCCGTGGTTTTAATCAGAAATGCGGTCTGGTTGGCAGCAACCTCTCACACTTAAGCCTTGGAAAAAGCTCTCCGATTCCAAAGGAAGTCCTGGTTTTCGTGCGTAAATGTTTCTGATAGGGAGAGGGGAAATAAACTTAACACTGCTTCTGATGCCATGTCAGTGGAATTTCAGTATCGGGCCTTTTCTTTCAGGTAGGCTGTGTTGTCCTGCTTAGTAGCTGGTTGCTCCCAGAGGTGCTTTTATTCTTTTTTACAACCAAACAGCATTTGAATGAGATATCCATATGTATGCCTCGCTTAGTGCAAAATCAGGAGGCGCAGGTTTAAGTTGGATGCCGGGCCGCTGTGGGCAGAGGTGCATGGGGCGCGATGCAGGCATCTTCTTCTGAAGAGGATGAATGAAATGGTCACTGCTTGAGCTCTCTGGAGCACTTACTCCACCAGTGCATCTTCCGTGAGCCTTTGTCTTTGCTTATGCATTTTTTGAGAAGTTATTGATGATTAAGAGGTTGACATAATAGGCCTAAGATGTTAAGAACTACTTTAAAGCAGGCAGAAAAGATGGGATAAGTGCAAGCTTACTGTGCCTTCTTTCTTTCTTTAATGACATCAAAAAGGTTGCCTCAGAACATTGATTTGACAGTTTTGCATACCAAAATTATTTATTTCCAAGGCATAACTAGAAGCATAGATGAAGTTATACAGTGGGATTATTTGCAAATAAGTGCATATGATATAGTGAAGGCCTTGTTAAAGTTTAACCTGTTGTGTTTCCGTGATAAAATATAATCCTAAAGTTCACAGTGTTTCTAGAAGCATCTTGTTGTACGTTTCCTGCATTTGTGAGACAAAGGTGGATTTTTGCATGGTTAATATGAATACTTAGGGTGTTAGGGTTGATGTGGAAACATTCCTCATTCATATGAAGCAAATGGAACAGATTCTCCTCTTTACTGTGATTTTTTTGATAGCTGTTTAATAAAGTGAGACTGCACTGATTGAACAAATTCTGAGACCAAAAAAAGATTTTTTTTTTTTTTCTCCAGAAAAGAACACAGCCACCACTAAAAGCACTAAAAACTAAGGTGCTTTCAATTTTGCTTTGCATCTTTCTGGTAAAAATAGCTTCTGTTGGATGGAAAGCTGTTTACAATCCTTTCACTCCCAATTTGTTTTCATTAGCAGCAAGTTCTTTACAGTTTAAATAGCAATATTGCAGTCAGAGGATTTAAAGCTTGGCTGAATGAAGATGTCTTTTAAATAGATTAGAAAGAAAAGCAAAATACTTGAATTTGGAAAGTTTTCTCCCTTTCCTTATCATTCCAAGTTTCGGTATTCCATGGCTAAAAAACTACCATTCAAGAGACTTAACAGTCCTTTCAGAGCTGTTTGCACAGTTGTCAGTCCATTTTTCATGTATATGCACAAAAGTGTCTCTGAGGGCAGGAGGGAAA